AAGGCAACTTCTGTTCCATGGGTTGATTGTTCTCACTGTCAGAAAGTTTCTCCGTATTTCCAGGCTGAATCTCTCTCCTTGTTCAGTTTCCATCCATTATTCCTTGTCTGGTCTACAGGAGCTTTAGAAAATAGCTTGATCCCCTTCCTCTCTGGGGCAGCCCCTCAAATATTGGAAGACTGCTATCGTGTCTCCCCTGGTCCTTCTCTTCCCTAGACTAGCCAGGCCCGGTTCCTACAGCCGTTCATTATATGTTTTAGCCTTCAGTCCCGTAATCATCCTGGTTGCTCTTCTCTGCACTTTTACTAGAGACTCAACATCTTTTTTATAATATGGTGAAAAAAACTGGATGCAGGACTCTAGGTGTGATCTTACTAAGGCTTTATAGAGTGGTATTAGTACCCCACTTGATCTCGATTGTATCCCTCTGTTAATACAATTTAGGATGGCATTAGCTTTTTTGGCTGCTGCTGCACACTGCTGGCTCCTATTTAGCTGGTTGTCCACTAAGACTCAAAGTTCCCTCTCACAGTTACTGCTATTGAGCCTGGTTTCACCCAGTCTATATGTATCCTTTTGATTTTTCTTGCCTAAGCGTAGGACTTTACTTTTCTCTACATTGAATTTCATTTTGTTAGATACGGCCCAGTGTTCAAGTCGCCGTGGGAAGGGTTGAAGTGCTAGGCTAGGGACAGATTGACTCGGAGAAATGCTATGTTGTTGATAAGAGTTGATAATGACTTGATGGTGTACAATCAATTCATGAATCTTACCGATCAATCAGTGGTACCGCTTGCCTTCAGAAGTTGTGGGCGCTTCATCACTGGAGGTTTTTAAGAGGGGACTGGATAGACACTTATCTGAAAGGGTATATAGCAGTGGTGGCTGTTATGTATATGTAAATAAGGTAGTTGGGTTGAAAATATATAAACTACAAATATATATGTTTGTAGCTTTAAGGAAAAATACTGTACTGTATCATGCTGTGTTCTGATTGGTTAATAATGCCACAAGTTGCCATAAAAGGGAGCTATAGATCATGGCTTAAGTCTCTCTTTCTTTTTCACTTTTTCACTGATGATCTCTCTTAATACTGATACTGACTGACTATGGACCGATACTGACTAATCCTGTTTATTTTGATATTCTGTTGATATCGAAGGTTATTTGTTGTATTATGGTTTGATATTTGTCTGCTGTAAAAGACATGGAACCGGTAAGACGATTTTATAACTGGATATTTCTGGACTGTTAAAAACGTGTATGACATGGACTGTTTATTGGACTGTGCTATTTCTTCAAGTAAATATTAATACAACTTGTTCAGCTCAGTGTGGCTGTATATTTCTTCATAACTGTTCTCATAAACCGTTTTCTGTGTGCATATCCTTTTTATACAAAGGGTTACTCTGCACATATTCTAACAGTGGCTAACCTTTTTTGGCTTCCGTGCCGATAATTGTGCACCCGCACACTCGCTCAGGCACGTGTGCCAACACCTGTGGCAATGCATGCTGCCCCCCCATGCCTCCTGCACATGCGCATACGACCCCCTCATGCGCCATGCATCTCTATGTATGCGCACACAATCCCACCTTGCGTGCCATGCATCTGTGCGCATGTGCATGCAATTCTCCCTTGCACGCAGTGCATTTGCGCATGCATGTGCAATCCCATCGCACACAGCATGTCCTTGCACATGCGCACACGCCTCTCATGCACCACCCTCTGCCGCCTGCGCATGCATGCCAGATACCAGACTATCAGCTGTTGGGTGGCTGCATGCGCGCTTGCATGCGTAGTGGGGCTCTTCCGGGCGACCTCTCGCGTGCCGGGGGAAAATGGCTCTGCGTGCCACTTCTAGCACACCTACCATAGGTTCGCCAACATGGTATATAGGGTCTCCTACTTGAGCAGGGGGTTGGATCTCGAAGACCTCCAAGGTATCCTTCCAGCCAGGGGTGGGATTCAAATTTGTTAACAACCAGTTTTGTGGGCGTGGCTTAGGTGGTGGGTGTGGCTTGGTGGTCATGTGACTGGGTGGGCGTGGCCAACTCAATATCACTCACATCGAGGCACGCATCTCCTTGCCTGGCCTCTCATGACTGTGGGGATGCTGCAATAGTCGTAAGTGTGAAAAATGGTCATAAGTCACTTTTTTCAGTGCCATTGTTACTTTGAATGGTCACTCCACACAAACAAAGTACCAGCAAAGGAGAGAAAAAAACCTCCAGAGACGTTCCAGATATAGGAAGTCTAGTCCTGCCCAAGAATGAAATAAGGGTTAATGGAGAGGCAGTTTCTGTAAGCAACACCAGAATGTTTCCTTCCTGCCTTCCTTACAGGATTAGCCCAGTAATTTCTTCTAACAACCGGTTCTCCAAACTGCTTAGAATGTTAACAACTGGTTCTAGCGAATAGGTGCAAACTGGTAGAATCCCCCCCTGCTTCCATCTCTATTCCAACTGATTCCTCAACCAATCCCCTGCTTTGTGACAGAGACTGAAATATAGGCGCCCCTCCCTCGCTCTTTGGGCCCCGAGATAATCACTCCCCCACTTTAAAGTGATGGAGGATTTGCGAGATGTCAAGTCTTATCTGTGGTGCTTCATGTGAAGGACAAAAGTTTCCTGCTTTTCCGCCACAAGCAAAGCTTAAACGGAACTTGCGGGGTTGGGAGGAGATCAGCTAGTCGCCCTCCGTCGAAACTCAGGTTGCGTGGCTAAAGTCTACAACAGCCATTTCTAGATGGATCGGACTACAAGATCCATGGTGCACTCCCAGGGCAGAATCACATGCCTATATGGTCCTCCCAGATGCGTCTGCAGGACCGACTCCTGACACAGAGGAATGGACAGACGTGAGGCTTCACACAGGCAGGCAAGACATCGGAATATAAACTTGAGAGCAAACCTCACTCCTTACGAGCACTGATGATGTTACCTAGTTGGGTAATGAAACGTCTGCAAGAGAAAACAAGCCAGCTCAGAGAGCCCCAAGGAGCTACAATATAATAATGAATATAAACTTGAAAGCAAAACCCATTTCTTAGCAGCACTGAGGGCTGTGAAAATATCTACAGACCCCTCACATCCTGGACACAAACTGTTTCAACTCCTTCCCTCAAAATGACACTATAGAGCGCTGCACACCAGAACAACTAGACACAAGGACAGTTTTTTCGTCCCTGCCCTCACTCTGCTAAACAAATAATTCCCTCAATGCTGTCCAACTATTTACTAAGTCCGTCTTACTATTACCATTAATCTTCTCTTCTCTCCTATCACCCATCCCCTCCCACTTGTGACTGCGTGACTGTAACTTTGTTGCTTGTATCCGTACGATTTTTATTGACTGTTTCAGACATAGTATTCAGCAGGTTCCGACCAGTTCTGGAGAACCGGTAGCGGAAATCTTCAGTAGTTTGGAGAACTGGCAAATCCCACCTCTGACTGGCCCTGCCCCCATCTCTTCTCTGCCTCTCGAGTCCCAGCTGATTGGCCGGCTCTTCTTTGGTTGACCTGCACAGGAGAAGGGAGCTGGAAAGCAGGTTAGTGGGGTGGGGAGGGAATGGGGATTTTGCAGTATCCTTCCCCTGCCACGCCCACCAAGCCACGCCCACAGAACCAGTAGTAAAAATGTTTGAACCCCACCACTGGACTATTGTTTCCTAATATGATTTGATTGCTTATTGTACCCTATGATTATATTCTATTTACTATATACCTGATGACTGTTATTAAGTGTTGTACCTTATGATTCTTGACGAATGTATCTTTTCTTTTCTTAACCTGGAGATAAGGAGAAACTTTCTGACAGAGAGAACCATCAACCCATGGAACAGAAGTTGCCCTTGGAAGTTGTGGGAGCGCCATCACTGGAGACTTTCAAGAAGAGATTGGACTGCCATTTGTCAGAAATGGTGTAGGGTCTCCTGCGTGGGCAGGGGGTTGGACTAGATGACCTACAAGGTCCCTTCCGACTCTGATTATCTGTTATCTGTTCTTTTATGTACACTGAGAGCATATGCACCGAAGACAAATTCCTTGTGTTTCCAATCACCCTTGGCCAATAAAGAATTCTGTTCTGTGCTGTTCTGTTCTGTTCCATTCCATTCGTTCTATTCTATTCTATTCTATTCTATTCTATTCTATTCTATTCTATTCTATTCTACTCTACTCTACTCTATTCTATTCCATCCCATCTATTCTATTCTATTCTATTCTATTCTATTCTATTCTATTCTATTCTATTCTATTCTATTCTATTCTATCCTATTCCATCCCATCTATTCTATTCTATTCTATTCTATTCCATCCCATCTATTCTATTCTATTCTATTCTATTCCATCCCATCTATTCTATTCTATCCCATCTATTCTATTCTATTCCATCCCATCCCATCATTTCTATTCTATTCTATTCTATTCTATTCTATTCTATTCTATTCTACTCTTCTATTCCATCCCATCCCATCTATTCTATTCTATTCTATTCTATTCTATTCTATTCTATTCTATTCTATTCTATTCTATTCTATCCCATCCCATCTCATCCCATCCCATCCTATTCTATTCTATTCTGTTCTATTCTACTCTACTCTACTCTACTCTACGATGAGGTTATCTAGTTGGGTAACGAAACGTCTGCAGGGAAACAAGCCAGCTCAGGGTGCCCCAAGGACCCCACACGTGAGGATCTTGCCTGGATGCAGAACGCGGGCAATGCAGGCAACTCCGGGGGTTCAGCCTCCTCCCCCCCCTCCCCCCCCGGGGAACCCGCCCCGGAGGGCCCCCCGCCCCCCCCCCCCCCCCCGCCGCCCCGGTCTCCTTTACTGCTTGAGGCCGTGGGCAGCCCTGTCCCTCCCCCCCTCCCCCCTAGGACCGCGGAGGGGTAGGAAAAAACAACCGTCCTTCCCCCTCCTTAGCCGCGCCTTCGCCCGAGGAAAGGGGCAGGCGGCGCCCAGCAAAGCGCCCGCTTTCGCTTTCGCCGCGGCGGAGGAGGAAGAGGCGGCGATGGCGCTTCAGGATGTCTGTGGATTGTCACGCGGCGGCTGGGATTCGCCTCTGCCCGGCGCCGGAGCCCGTCCTGGGCTCTCGCACTACGCTTTCGGGGTGCGGGAGCCCCAGATGGCGGTGCTCCAGGGGATGCAGGTGAGGGAAGGAGGGTTTGGAGGGCCGAGCGGAAGAGGGAAGGGCGCCCCCAAGGAGTGGCCGTCGAAAAGCGCGGGGATGCAAAGTGCACCATGAGCATATGCAGAGTGCTCATCCACCCCGCTCCCACCCCGAACCTCAACCCAACACCCCCCTCCTCCTCCCCCCACAAAAAAAGGCCCGGATTATTTGACCCGATGCCCGGAACGGGACGTCAATCTTCTCGGGGCGGACAGTTTTTCTCCAGAGAAAAGTTGTCCCAAAAACTTTTCAGCAGCCGGATGACGGCGCGGGCGAAGGATTTGGGGGAAAGGCGGGGCGGGGGGGGGGTTGTTTAGGCCCGATTCTGAGCCCCGGGGAGGGTTTGGATGGGTCGCCTCTGGCTCCTGTCCTCCCCACCCTCTCTCTCTCTCTCACACACACACACCCCTGGAAGGCATTAGAAAGGGCCGGCCCTTGGCTCAGATTTGGGCCAAGGTTTATGTGGTTTGGAGGGAGAGGAGGGAGGGAGGCGCCCCCAGGGAGTGGCTTTTGAGAACCTCCGGCAAAGGGCACCTGAGTGTATGCAGAGTGCTTTCCCCCCCCCATCGCCCTCCCCGTTCTGTTCTGGTGCTCAGAACTGGACATCCACCTCCTTGGGGCAGGAAAGTTCCTCCCACCCCCAAAAACCAAAAACTTTTAGCAACCGGATGACTGTGGGGGAAAAGGAAGTGTGTGTGTGTGAGGGGTGTGGGGGTTGAGACTGCAGGGAGGCCTCCCGCCTTTTTCCCCCCTTGGCTCAAGTGTGTGTGTGTGTGTGTGTGTGTGTGAGAGAGAGAGAGAGAGAGATTGCGGAAGAGGGAGGGAGGCGGGTGCCCTCAGGGAGTGGCTTTTGAGAGACATGAGGCGAAGTGCATCTGAGCTCATGCAGAGTGCTTCCCCCCCTCTTCCTTCTCCTTCAGATCTGGTACCCAGAATGGGACATCCACCTCCTTGAGGGCACTAAAATCTCTCCCACCCACCCCAAAAGAGCCGTTTAGTGCCTGGATGGCGATGGGGAAAAGGAAGTGTGTGTGTGGGGGGGGGGGGCTTGGGCCCTATTCTGAGGCCCGAGGAGGCCTCCCGCCTTCTTCCCATGGAAGGCAAAGGTTGGCCCTTCCTTGGCTCAGGTTTGGGCCAAAGTTTTTGTGTGTGTGTGTGTGTGTGTGTGTGTGTGAGAGAGAGAGAGAGAGAGAGAGAGAGAGAGAGATCGTGAAGAAGAAGGAGGAAGGAGAGAAGAAGGTGCCCCCTGGGAGTAGTTTTTGAGACATGAGGTAAAGTGCCTCTGAGTGTATGCAGAGTGCTCCCCCCTCGCCCTTCCCGTTCTGATCTGGTACCCCGAATGAGACCTCAGGGCACTAAATTCCCCTCCCCTCAAAATGGCTTTTTAGCGCCCAGGTGACACTGGGGAAAAGAAGAGCGCGGGTGGGGGGGGGCGTTTGGGCCTGATTCTGAGCCCCAGAGAGGCGTCCCGCCTTTTTCCCACTGGGAGGCAAAGGAAGGGGCAAAACTTGGACCGAGGTGTTGTGGGTCTGTGCGATTGTTGTGGCCAGAAGAAGCCGCTCTTCCTGCTGACAGAAAGGAACAGCGGAGGGTTCTCCTGCATCCCAGTCACCATCCTCATCGGGGGGGGGGGGGGGGACCTTTCCTCTCCTCTCCCGCCCCTTCCCATCTCCCCTTCCCCTCCACAGCCCGCCGAGGTCCTGAAGAGCCTCTCGGAGAGTAGCGGCTCCCAGTTCGAGCCGGTCCATGGCACCACCACCCTGGCCTTCACTTTCCAGCACGGAGTCATCGTGGCCACCGATTCCCGGGGAACCGCCGGCAACTATATTGGTGAGCAATACTGTGGTTTAGGAAGAAGAGGGCAGGATGGGGGCGGGGTGAGGGGTCGTGGGGGTAGGATCAAGTCCATCTGTCGTTGGCTGTTGTCTTTTCTTCCGGGTATATTAAGAAGTAGAATAACAAGAGTTGGAAGGGACCTTGGAGGTCATCTAGTCCAGTGACTGCCAACCAGTGGGCCAGGGATCACTGGTGGTCCGCGATAAAATTTTGGTATGCCACAGAGAAATGTCACCCCCAAAGCAATTAATCCAGGCCGTACGGGAACACAAGGCTGTGCTGCCCACATGGCCCGCAGGAACACAAGGCTTGCATTGCAAAAAACACAAGGTAGTGATGGCTGGAGGGGAAGTGGAGAAGGGGGGAACTTGCCTCATTCATCCCACGTACCTGGCCTGGCCACCGGGCTTGTTAGGAATGTAAGTCCCCTAACCGTTATTTGGGTTGGAAATATATAAACTAGGATAGACATTTTAATACTGTATCTTTAAGAGAATGCTCAAACTGTAATTGGGTGTGGTTCCGCAAATGGCCATAAGATGGAGCCAGAAACCTGGAGTGTGTCTCAGTGAGTATCTGTTTCCTTCTGTTGGAGAGAGTTGCCCTTCCTCCCAATGACTGTTACTGATCGTTGATGTAAGTCTGTTACTGAACTGTTTTTGATACTGGACTTTGTTATTGGATTATCCCTGAACTGAACACTGACTGCTTTACCTGTGAATGACTTGGACTGCTTATCTTGGACTTTGCTTAAACATTTATGGGAAGTAAAAACCTACATTTACTGTACAGTGTATCTGTGTGCTGTGTGTTTGTTATTCTTCACTATTCTCACTACATCTCCCTGTATGCGCTCATTCTCCTAACGGGGAATTACCTCAACAGGGCTGCTTCTTTCCGCTTCTTTCTTCTTCTGCTTTTAGCTGCATGCAAGGAAAGCAGCAAAAGTCTTTCTTTCTCTCCCCCCAACTCCGCCGGAAATGAGTCTTTGGGACCCTGCAAGGCATCCTGCTCCAACAGGCTGCGCCAGCATGACAAGTCTCACAAAGACTCATTTCTGGCGGAGTTGGGGGAAGGAAAGAAAGACTTCTGCTGCTTTCCTTGCATAAAGCCAAAAGTCTCTCTCTCTCTCTCTCTCTCCCTGCCTCCCTCTCTCTCTCCCTCTTTCTTCCCCCTGAGAACAGAGCTGGAGACAGCATCTTGGGATCCCAAATAAAGAATGATTGATCAGTAGGACAACAGGGTGGTGAATTTTCCTGCAGACTTTTGGGGTTTTTTCCCAGGGTCTCTGGTCTGCGGGATTTAAAATTATGAGTTTGGTGGTCCCGCGGGCCATGTAGGCAGTGCAGCCTTGTGTTCCCATGCAGCCTGGATTAATAGCTTTGCGGGTGACATTTCTCTGCAGACCACCAAAATTTTCTCGCAGACCACCAGTGGTCCCTGGTGCACTGGTTGGCGACCATTGATGTAAAGGTTTCAGGCTTTGTGCCACTGTAGCCCACTCCATCAAATGCAGCTTAACTATTCCAGCTGCAGTTTGCAAAAAGCAGATAGATGCCTTTTTAAATAAACTCTGTTCATCTGAATGCGGCTGGCAGCTTCCTTCTGATTTTGGGTGGGTGTACACACTCTCTTGTTAAGCTGCCCAACAGGAGTGCTGAGTGGGCCTAATCTGTTCTTCTTGTCTTCCTTTCCACCTCTTACGCAGATTCTTTGCTGTGCAATAAGGTGATCGAAATCAACCCTTACCTGTTGGGCACCATGTCTGGAGGTGCGGCTGATTGCCAATATTGGGAGCGTCTCCTGGCCAAATATTGCAGGTATGGATCGGATGCTGGCGCTTGATTGGCTGCACCTGGACAACCAACTGTTGGAGAAATGATACAGGGTCTCCTGTTTGAGAAGGGGGTTGGACTAGATGACCCACAAGATCCCTTCCATCTCTGTTAATTCTATTCTAAGAGTAGAGTAGAATAGAATAGAATGAGTTGGAAGGGACCTTGCAGGTCTTCTAGTCCAGCACCCGGCTCAAACCGGAGAACCTATACCTGTGATGGCGAACCTATGGCATGTGTGCCACAGGTGGCATGCACAGCCATTTGTGCGGGCAGGTGAGCCCCAGCCAAACTTACCTGCACTGCGCATGCATGCGCCTGCCTCTCAGCTGATTTTGGGCCTGTTTGAGGCCATTTTCGCCCTCCCGGAGGCTCGAGGGAAGCCTCTGCAGCCTCCGGAGGCCGAAAAACAGGCCTTCCAGAAATACCAGAAGTGCTGAAATGGGCCCGTTTTTCGGCCTCCAAAGTTTGCAGAGGCTTCCCTCAAGCCCCCGGGAAGGCGAAAACAGCCTCCCCTAGGCTCCCCTGGTATTTCCAGAATGCCTGTTTTTCAGCCTGCCGAGGCTGCAGGGGCTGAAAATGGGCACTTCCGGTATTTCCAGAAGGCCCATTTTTCAGCCTCCCAGGGCTTCAGGGACTTTTCTCGAGACCCCCAAAGGGTGAAAACGGCCTCAAACGGGCCGAAAATCAGCTGGGAGGTGCACACACATGTGCAGTGCAAGTAAGGGGGCGGGGTGTTGCACATGCATGCGCAGGGGGACGCATTGCATTGTGGGTGAAGGTGCGCGTGGATTATCACAACAAAAAGCTTCGCCATCATTGACTTATACGATTTCAGACAAGTGACTGTCTAGTCCATATATATATAAATATTATTCAGCTTTGTTCGGGTATTTTCCCACATCGTTGCATATATATATTATATTCTTATATGTATCCATGTATTCATAACTATGTTTTTACTTATACTGTTATCTTTTAAGCAATTGACAAATAAAAATAAATAAATAAACAAACGAACAAGGGTTTGGAGATGAAGATCACAACTTGCCCTAGATAAGGGTGCCAGGGGCTCGGTGTAAAGCCAGTGGGATCCTGGGACCCTTTCTCTTATACAGTGGAATCTTCAGGTCGCAAATGCTCCTGTTCGCAACCAAATCAGCTGGCGAACAAAAAAATCCACCCGATTTTTGAATCCGGTGACGATTCAAAAATTGGGTGGCGAACGAAATCAGTGTCGAAAAATTCCCTTTCCGCGCTGATTTCCCCTTCACCACCCATTTTCTTTGAGTGCACACATGCGCAGTTTGTCGTGCTTCCGGACATGACCAAATCAGGCCACGACCGGAGTCCGGGAATGGATTACGGTTGCGACCCGAGGCTCCGCTGTACAGGGAATCTGATGGGATCCATTGAGGTTAGATAGAAACTAAAGACCTGGGGAGAAATGGAAATATTTGGGTGAGGGGAGGTGTGGAGTAGGAAGACAGGCCCTCTTTCTCTGACCCTGCCTTCCTTCTGCCCTCCCACTGCAGACTGTACTTCCTTCGCAACAAAGAACGGATCAGCATCTCGGCTGCCTCCAAGCTCTTGGCTAACATGCTGGCTGAGTACCGGGGTATGGGGCTCTCGGTGGGCAGCATGATATGCGGATGGGATAAGAAGGTAATGACTGACAGGGAGGGAGGGAGGGAGAACAGATGAGCCAGAGGACTTGGGAAGGGGAGGGGAGGGGAGGGGAGAAGAGAGGAGAGGAAGGGAAGGAAAGGGAAAAAGAAGGAAGACTTTTCGAAGCACAGCTATTCTAGCAGAAAATCAAAAGAAGGGTGGGTTTTTAAGCATCAGTTTGGAAGAGTGAGTTGGAATTAATCTTAGACTGTCAACCTCACCCCCTTTCCTAAAAGGCCTGTAGGAGGCACGCATAAGAGCACCAACGTGCCGACCGTCCCTGTCCTATTGTTTCTTTTTATTTTTCTTATATGTACCCATTTCATGTATTCATAACTATGTATATACTTATACCTATTATCTTGTAAGCGATTGACAAATCAAATAAATCAAATAAAATCAAATAATTAATCCAGGGGTGGGTTTCAAAAATTTTAGCAACAGATTCCCTGCCTGGTTGCTTGGTGGGTGTGGCCATAGTGGGTGTGGCCTAGTCAGCCTCCTGCACCATAACAGGGAGGCATTTTTGCCCTCCCTGGGCGCCGGTGGCTTTTCTCGAGCCTCCGGGAGGGCGAAAACGGCTTCCCCGGGCACCGTAAGCTCTGTGGAAGTGGGCAGTAGGCCCATTTCTGGCCTTTTGGAACTTCTGAGCGGCCCGTTTTTCGCCCTTTCCGAGCCTCCGTGCATGCCCTACACTTACCTGCATCCAAAACGGGCCCCGTGGGAGGGGCAGGGCAAGGTGGACAGGGCCAGCCAGGACTGGGATTTAGGGGTTATCCGAACTGCACAGAACCCCCAGCAGCCCACCCCCCTCAATTTATCAGATACGGCAGAGTTGCCAAAAGTAGTGGCTCAGCCACAGCTTAAGTCAGGGATGTCAAACTCACACCGGGATATAGTTGCTACGTGGCGTATCAGGACTTTTTTCCCAGTTCACTAAACCTGGGGTAAGCGTGGCCAGTGTGTGACACTTCCGGCCCATGGCGTGCAAGTTTGACACCCCTGGCCTAAGTGATCGTCCCTTATGGGCCCTAGAGTGAAAGGCTGAGCCTTTTCTGGGGTTATTTTGGTTGGGGGGTTATGGTATTTTTTAGAAGGCATAAGATGGCTTGCTAAATACCACCTTTGCACTGTGGGTTGCTCTTAAGTTTGTGTCCTGCCCATGTTTGGAGTCAAGTGGTGGTATCCAGCAGGTTCTGACCAGTTTGGGAGAACCGGTAGCGGAAATTTTGAGTAGTTCGGAGAACCGGCAAATACCGCCTCTGATTTTACAGTATCCTTCCCCTGCTATGCCCACCAAGTCACAGAACCAGTAGTAAAAAAAGATTGAATCCCACCACTGTGAATTGGAGTGTAACCCTTGATCACACCCTGGAGCAAGGAATGAAGGTGCTGCTCCCTGGCCAGGGCTGGGCCGTACCATCTCTCTGGGAGGGGAAACAAAGGCAGGGCTGAAAAAAGTCACGATTCCTTCCCTTTTTCAGGGCCCTGGTCTGTATTACATCAATGACAAAGGAGCCCGGCTGAAAGGGCCCCTTTTTTCCACGGGAAGCGGAAACACCTTCGCCTACGGAATCCTGGATAGTGGCCACCGGCCCGACCTCAGCGTGGAGGAGGCCTACGACCTTGGCCGAAGGGCCATCTGCTATGCCACCCATCGTGACAACTACTCGGGCGGCATAGTAAACAGTACGTTTCCCAAGCATCCACCGGGTTCCTTAGGCACCCTGTGATCCTGAGCATTGGACAGTGCCAATTTAGAGGCTAATTTTGCACGGTCCCTTAACTGACTTTCCACCAATTTCTGTGTCCTGCAGTGTATCACATGAAGGAAGATGGCTGGATCCGCGTTGGGCGGACAGATGTCAGTGACTTGCTGTACCAGTATTCGGAGGAGAAGAAGTGAGATGGGCAGATGACCTCAAGCATGGAGATCTTCTGACACTCAGGGCTGGCAGAGAGGAAAGGGGATGGGGGAACCATCCCTATGTCTTTTCACGGGGCAACAATAAACTGTATTTGAGCTCATTTTTCTTTCGGCTCTGATTTGTAATTTAAATTTGGGGTTGTTTTTTTTCTGTATTCTGCACAGTAGTGGATTTGCGAGCTGTGTAGATGCAGATAGATAAACTCCACAAAAGATCCATAACCAAGTACATTTATTGGTTCATCAGGTATCCTCATAACTCACATTTGTGAAGAAGTTCTTCTTTAATGACCAATCCTTTGTATATCTGCCTTGTAGGTAAAAGATGGTTATCTCCTAACCCATCTTGTAGCGATAGAAAGAAGCTGCCATGAGTTCAGGCAAAAGTGAGCGAAACTCCTCCAACCCATCAAGGGTCAAATTAGTGACCAATCGGGATTACAGATGTGGCCACGTGACATGAACTACATTTCCCAGGATACCTTTCACTACATTTACCATGATGCATTCCCTTAAGGGGACAGCTCACAATTCCTAAGTAACTACCAATTCCCATAGACTGGCTGGGACAGCACAGGGGGTGTCTTAAGGAAAATATGTCACTGATGACAGAAAAGAAGACATTGGTATTATTCAAGATTCCTGTTTTGAATCTTCAGAGAGAATTTTGGAGGAATTTTCTGAGGAAATTCTGGCAAGGGCCACATATTTTTTTTAATTTATAAGCTAGATCTTGTGTCAGTTTCCCCGCTTTATCTGGAAATATATTCAACTCAGATTTTTATTCTCACCAACTCCACACCTCCTAATTTCCATCTTCACTAAACGGAGTTTCCTCCACAGTTTCTAACGGGTGTGGGAAGCCCCCCCTCCCTAGAAGAATGAAATGTTTTGGGGAATATTAAAAAGGCAGGATAGAATATTTTCCCTAAATCAGAAATGGAAAAAAATGTTAACGGAGGCAGAAACAGCCCCAGTCTCCCTGCCCCAAGCAGAAACTGAGGAAGTCAGCTTCCAGAAATGTAGATTTGGTAATCCATTTGAAAAGACTGGACCAGACAGAAACTCCGGATCAGCAACACAATTAGATAATTCAAAGGTTGACAAAATGAGCTCAGACAAACGCCTACTATTTGCATTTCCCCTTTTGCCTGTAGAGCCAGCTAGGACCCTATGTGACCTCATAAAAATCCAGAAGGAAGTCCCCCTCCCCCTAAGAATGAAATATTTTCGGGAAATATTAAAAGAGGCAGAATATTATATTTCCCCAAAGAAGAAATAGAAAAAAACATGTTCTTAAAGGCAGAAAACAACCTGTTTCCTGCATACAAGTCCAGCAGATGCCTGAAATCTTTAGAGATGGATGTTTTGTAATTCATTCAGGAAGACTGAGACAATCTATTCAAAAATAAAACACCTTCCGCTCCAGCTGAGGGAATTAAAAATTTACATCCCTCCACCCAAATTCTAAGAACAGGACCAGAGGTGGGCTTCGGCTGGTTCGCACCGGTTCGGTCAAACAGGATGTTAATTTTATGCCCAGTTCAGTGAACTGATAAATCCCACTACTGGTTGGCCCTGCCCCAGCCCGTCCCACACCACACCGTTCTGGCTCCCAGGTTAGTGCAGCAGGCTGACTAGGCCCAAAACGGGGCACAGGTGGACGCACCATGCCCCTCCCATGGCCCATTTTGGCTCCCAAGGTGGTGCAGGAGATCAACTAGGCCCAAAACAAGACATGGGAGGGGCATGCCATGGCTCCCCCACAGCTTGTTTTGGCTCCCAGGGTGGTGCAAGAAGTTGTGAAGGCCCAAAATGGGGCGTGTGGGGCACTTGGGGTGTACTACACCCCTCCCTCCCTGTGCCCCATTTTGGTTGGCAGAATGTTGCAGGAGACTGAGTGCTGTCACACGCCCTGGCCACGCCCACTATAGCCACGCCCACCCAACCACACTTGCTTGGCCGTGAAATCGGCCAGATCTCTCCTTCCCTCGCGCATGCGCATCACCATGAGCAAAAGGAGGTCAAGCGCATCCTCTCAGTTCTCTGACACGCCCCCCTTCCTCTCAACTCCTGTCACACGCACCTTCGGGACCTTGGCGCCTGGCCACGCCCCCTTCCCACCTGTGACCCGAGCAGGGGCGGCTCCTCCTCCATCAACACCACACCCATTCCTATCATGGCTCGTTCCAACGCCACGCCCCTCGGCTTCCCCCCCCATCCCGAGCTCTCCTTCCCTCGCGCATGCGCGTCACCATGAGCAAAAGGAGGACAAGCGCGTCCTCTGGCGCTCTCCTTCCCTTGCGCATGTGCGTCACCATAATTTGGCTGAATTTGGCCATATTTTGACTTGAGTTTGGCCGCAGAGCCAAACTGCAATCTGGCAACCCTGCTCTAAAGCTTAACTAATGCCACTCTATAAAGCCTTGGTAAGACCGCACCTAGAGTACTGCATCCAGTTTTGGTCAACACATTATAAAAAAGATGTTGAGACTCTAGAAAAAGTGCAAAGAGCAACAAAGAGGATTAGGGGACTGGAGACTAAAACATATGAAGAACAATTATAAGAACTGGGCTTGGCTAGTCTAGTGAAGAGAAGGACCAGAGGAGACATGATAGTAGTCTTCTGATATTTGAGAGGCTGCCACAGGGAGGAAGGGGTCAAGCTATTTTCTAAAGCACCCGAAGGCCAGACAAGGAATAATGGATGGAAACTGAACAAGGAGAGATTCAATTTAGAAATAAGGAGAAACTTTCTGACAATAAAAACAATCAACCAATGGAACAGCTTCCTTCAGAAATTGTGGGAGCTTCATCACTGGACTGATCTGTCGGACATGGGGTAAGGTCTCCTGCTTGGGAGGAAGGGTTGGACTAGATGACCTACAAGTTCCCTTCCAACTCTGTTGTTCTGTTACTGTCCAGGCCACTGCATTTTGGACCGGCTGCAGCTTCTAGGTTCAAGGGCAGTTCCATGTAGATTGCACTGCAGTAGTCCACTGCAGAGATGCCTAAGGTATGCGTGATTATCCAAAGGGCACCGGGAAGGACAGCAAGTTGTGCCTACTTCAATAACCCTGGCTTAAGGAAGCCATGAGATAGTGTACAGGTAGTCCTCAACTTACAATGGTTTGTTTAGTGCAGTGGTCACCAACCAGTGGGCCAGGGACAACTAGTGGTCCTCAAGAAAATTTTGGTGGTCTGCAGAGAAAGGTCACTCCCAAAGTGCCCCCCCAAAGCAAGGCAAGCCCGAATAATACACCCGTTTTCATCACTTCCGGTATTAGAGGAAATGACGAAATGGGCCTATTCAACCTGAAAAGCCTACCAGAGGCTTTTCCCAAGCCTCTGGGAAGCTGAAAAAGGCCTCAAACCAGCAGAAAAATCAGCTGTGAGGAGCACACATATGCAGTGAGGTAAATTTGCCTGTGGCTCGCATGCCGGCACAAATGTCTCTGCGTGCCACTTGTGACATGCATGCCATAGGTTCACCCTCACGGCCCTACACCATTTCTGACAGATGGCAGTCCAATCTCTTTTGAAGGTCTCAAGTGATGACACTCTCACAACTTCCGAGGGCAACTTCTGTTCGATTGGTTGATTGTTCTCACTGTCAGAAAGTTTCTCCTTATTTCTAGGTTGAATCTCTCCTTGTTCAGTTTCCACCCATTATTCATCACGTGATCAAAATTCAAATGCTTGGCAATTGACTCATATTTGTGACAGTTGCAGCGTGTCATCCCTTTTGGCGACCTTCTGACAAAGCCAAAGGGGTAACCAGTTTCAATTCAGCCAACTGCAGTGATTCACTTAACAGCTGTGGCACGAATGGTCATAAAATGGGGCCAAATTCACTTAATCAATGGCTCCTTTAGCAACAGCTGAATAGTCAAGACCTTGTTGATGATCCAGGGACAACTAGTTCAAGCGCTGTAAAGGATCTTGGAGTACTCATCTCTAATGATCTAAGTGCTAGAGCCCACTGTAATTTCATAGCCAAAAAGCCGTTAAAAATTATTAACCTAATCTTACGTAGCTTTTTCTCTGGTAATATCACACTAATAACTAGAGCACACAAAACATTTGCTAGACCAATACTCGAATACAGCTCATCAGTCTGGAACCCGCATTACGTATCTGATATTAACACAGTTGAGAAAAGTCCAGAAATATTTCACAAGAAGAGTTCTCCACTCCTCTACTTGTTGCAGAATACCTTATGCCACCAGACTTGAAATTCTAGACCTAGAAAACCTAAAACTACGCCGCCTTCGGTCCGATCTAAGTATAGTATATAAAATCATACATTGCAATGATTTACCTGTCAATGAATACTTCACCTTCAACCATAACAACACAAGAGCACACAATAGATACAAACTCAAGGTTAACCGCACCAAACTTGATTGCAGGAAATATGACTTCAGCAACAGAGTGGTCAATGTCTGGAATACTCTCCCTGACTCTGTGGTTTCTTCCCTCCCCAACCCCCAAAAACTTTAACCTTAGAAGGTCTACTATTGACCTCACCTTTCCTAAGAGGCCTGTAGGGGCCGTGCATAAGTGCATCAACGTGCCTGCCGTCCCCGTCCTATTGTTTCTTTTTATTTTTCTTAGATGTACCCATTTCGTGTATTCATAACTCAGTATATACTTATACCTATTATCTTGTAAGTAAGGGATTGACCAATCAAAATAAATAAATAAATAAAAAACAGAAAACTGTGGAATCCATTTTGAGGGTCAGTCAAGGACTGCCGCCAGTGATGATAAATAAAGCAAGGCAGGACTCCAGCCCCAGGCAGGATTTAACACGGCTCAATCAATAGATGACACGTAAAGAAAAGCCAGCTGTGCCTTTATTTATTCAACCGACTCCGATTCTGGAAATCACGAGTGTGAAGGGAAAACACGAGAGAGAGAGAGAGAGAGAGAGAGGTGGCTAATTAAGGCTTAAACAGCGGAACGCCGGCGCCATCTGGCGGTCACTGTGCTGGAAGACACTTCGAAGGAAAGCGGCATTTCCTATGTGAAATCGAAAGCAAAAGTTTTGGTTGGAGGGGAATTTTTCGGCTCTGCTGCTGAGGCGGCGGTGCATGCG